TTTTCTATGTCTGGAAGTGAGACACTGCTGGCATTCATTCAATATGTAATTGCTCAGATGCTAGTTGGCTTTCAATTTATACTATCATTAGAAAACAAATGGGCAAATTACATTTATTTGTAGAAAAATATTTAGACTGCCTTTAAATATATAGATGCTTAACATAAGCCATAAAATATAAATGTGTATTATCTGACATGGCTATGTATTGCTGTCCTTCTTCATAAATCTAACTATATAAGGTGGTTAGATTCAAACACCATTTAGACTAGGATCAAGGAAGCTCAGGTTAGAGTTCATCCTTTGCCATGGAAGTTCATGGGGAGAATTTGGACCAGCCCAGCTCTTTTAGCCCAGCCTACTTCACAGAATTAGTGTAAGGAAAAATTGGGAGAAGGCATTTAATACTCCTGGAAGAAAGCTGGGATAGAAATCTAATGAATGAAGTATCCGTGACATCCTTTTTCTGTTTGTTTTGTTTGCTTTTTTAGGGTTTGTATTAGTTTAACTGTGCACTACTCAGAGTTGGTTTTGAAACAGGGAGACCTTATAAATCGAAATGATAAGCAAATATAATTAAAATACAACCAAAAGGCAGAACCAACAGCTTCCAACTAGCTATACTAGAAAACTAGAAAAATACATTTTTAGGATCCATTTGAAGGCTGAGATATCCAGGGGCCATAAACAGATTCATTACAAAGAACTCTGGATTTGTGTAACCAGCAGCCAAAAGTCCTCTCTTTTAAAACCCAGCATCCCCACTCTTACCATTTGTTTGAAATAACAGTTCCACAATGAATTATACTGCCTGGAATGTATTAAGGTACTAACCATGAAAGAATATCTTGCACACCCGTGTTGCGTCTATAGAGAGAGCAGCTGTGACATGCTATAGTAAACATTTAGGAACACAAGTCTACTATGTACTTGAGTTTAGGATCTGATGAACTAGTATCAGCATTGTATGAAATAGAGAAGCCTGTAGCCTAGCAAAAGTATTACTCACCAAAAGTGAACTGGCTAAGTAATTTTTCTTCATCATCTTTCACCTCTTAGGAACATGTGGATGTAATCACACACTGCATTAATTCAAGATGTTGTTTGCATGTTTATTGTGTTGCATGAACCAAGGTAATTAGGGTGTGCTCAATAAAACATGGCCTGTTCAACATTTGAACCCAGCAGGAATTCCACACCCAAAAGGGTACGTATCTTATTTGCTCTGGCTGCCCCCTTTTTCTTAGGATCATAATTCCCCCCCTCATTTTTTATGGTTATGAATATCAGAGATGTCCAGAGAATATAGGCAGATAATCTACTGCAACATTTCACCATATCTATATACTACTAACACTCTCATTGTGTTTATCTGTTTGTACCCTCAAATTAGCCTAAACAGTACATTATACCCAACAATTTTTGAATCAAGGTACCTAAAATCCACTAACTTAAAGAATGTGTAAAAAATCCAGCACCCATTACTCCTGTGGAATTGAAATTTCCACGATGTTCAGACCAGTTTTATCCGCAAAGTTGTGGCTGTTGCACAACTCTGATCGTGATTTCCAACACTCACTGCCAGCTTCTCACAAGCAAAGTCAGTGGGGAAGCTGGCAGGAAGTTGGAAGTTGCTCCCACTCCCACTGCTTTTTTGCCTACCCGTGGTCCTCCTGTTTATCTGTTTAGGTAAGAAAATAGTGATTTACTATCAAAGTTTGTTTGCCACTACAATTATTTTTCTATTTATGTTATATAGTCTTCTTAGATGATCACAAGACCATCCAGCATTGGGGTGAAAAAAATATGGTCCACCTAAAATTTAATGTTTGTTCTGGTCCCATCAGATTGCATTACCTTTCTCTCAAAGGATACCCCAATGGGTCACAGGGTTGTCTAGCTGCAACTAAAATAATAGGACAGCTTGGGCAAATAAGAAAAGTTTATATTTTAAGAAATGTCCTGAAAACAGAAACTCTTACAGCAGTGTTGGGCTTCAGGGTTTAGCAACCATGGTCTAGAGAATAGATTTCCTGAATCCTCTTGCCTTAGAATAAATTGGGAATAAATACTGTATACATACTATTTCTATATTCACCAATAGTGCATTATCTTTTAGGAAAATATGAACTCATTTGTATAAACTCATTTTGAACCTGTCAGATAAAAGAAATGCAGTTGTATTTCAGCTGTTCAGCCTTGGATTAGTCCAGCATTTAACATTATATCTTGAAAAATATTGATCCCTTTATGAGGATCCATGGTACAAGGGAGGTAATGCCACTGTGGCTTCTAATGGACACTTATGGATCTCTCCTGGCATAACCATTAAACCAAAAGCAGGCACTTTTAAAAGTATTTTATACTTATATCCTAACTATCTTCAAGGAGCTCAAGGTAGCATAAATAGTATCTCTCCTCCAGCACTTAGACTTCTCCATTCCATCAGAGCACCTAAATAATACTGGAAGAACAAGGAAGCATCTAGGGAGAGAAAGGGAATGAAAGCCCCTCCACAAGTAATTGGATGGGATATCACCAGGAAATCTCAGCATTGTATGCTAGAATGGGAAGATAAAAAATTACCCCAGCAGGCAACAGAAACCAGTACCATACTGCTGCCAAGAAAATACCATCAACATTGTCTACCAGTGTTTCTCAACCTTGGCAACTCCCCATGCTGGCTGGGGAATTCTGGAGCTGAACTCCAGACAGCTTAAAGTTGCCAAGGCTGAGAAACACTGGACTACAAAGTCATCAGAGTTGGAAGGAGCCACAAGGATCACCTAATCCAGTCCTCCACAGTGCGCTCCACAGCTCCGTCTTCTCCGGAGATGAAGAATCCACCACCTCTGTAGCTCAAACTGCTGTCCAGATCTTACCACCCGGAGCAAAAATATGTTCATCAGCGTGAAGGAGACATCAAGCTAAAGACTTTTTTTTTGGCATGGAGGGCTTTCCTAGGATGTTTGACCCTCCTAGTTACTCCTCCAGTTACCCTTGCTTTGAACATGGACCACATCATGACCTCTGGCCTCAGCAGACTACCAGGAACTATATTGTTTATTTTCTTTATTGGATTGCATCTCCTGAGTTTTTAAACACAAGCCGCTTTGAATCTCTCTGTGGTGTATACACACAGCTAGAAACACCCAGCCACCGGAAAGCTTTCTCTTTTGCCTGATGCCATGCTCTCCCCTCTGCAGTACTGGATGGCAAATATAAAAAAGTATTATGTAAAAAAGTACTGTTGGCTGAAAGGCTCTGCCCGTGTGATTCTGGAGAGGTGGAAACCCCAGAACATGTTGTTCTTCCTTGCTCCTTTTACAGAGACACTTGAACCAGATTTATCCTCCCTCTGATCAGTGGATATCCTGGTTACTCAGACCTGGCCTATGCCCAGATGCTGCTCATAGATGAACTGACATTTACTACAACGCATAAGGCTAGGTTTTGTGCAGCAGCATTTATGTTTTGCCAGACCTTGATGTGCCAAGTTCCTGCTACACAGATTTTATGTAACTTTAGACATTATCAATTTGTTTGTAATTTTACATATTATCACACTTTATGTAAATTTTAGATACCCTCACCTTTTTGTAATTTTAGATGTGATCACATTTTATATAATTGTAGATACTACCTTATAACCTAGACATAGACGGCTCCTCTTGGACTTCACTCACAGATTCCAGTCAGGTTGTTTTATAGATGAATTTTAATATTGTCTTAAATTTTATTTACTGTCTCCTAAGATAGATTTATAAGTGCTCACAAAGCACTCAAGGACACATTGCTTGTACTGGTCTAACTTGGTTGTATAATGCATTATTCCTGCTTCTAGTTGCAGTTTCTCAGGAGACTAGCAAATAACAGGGACTATGCATGGGGGAAGGCCTGACTTACTGAACTTTAGATCAGGACTGGTCTTGCAAAGGAGGGAAAAAGGGATTTTTCGGGATCTGGGAAAGGGGTGTTAGAAGGTTGGGGCATGTAGACATTTTTATATATTAAGACATTTAGATGTTTAAATATATAAAAATGTCTACATGCCCCAACCTTCTAACAGGGGAAGCTGGGCCGGGGCTGAATTCCGGGCCAAGCGAAGGCCAAAATCCCTTCCAGCTTCCCTTGGAAAGAGGCGCGTCCCTCCACGGGATCACGGTACCAAGCAGGCACTCCATGCCGA